TGGGTGACTCATTTTCACTGCAGTGACACAGTGCTCCTGTCCAGCAGCACCGCAGTCTCCTCTCTCCTCTGTCCCTGCTCTTCTTTTCCCTCACAAGTGCTAAACAGATATAAGCGAAAGGGGAGTGTTGTTTGCTCCCAGATTTTCACATCAGAGCAAATTGGGACCAAGGCTTTTTCATCCTTTTTTTTGCCATGACCTTTAAAATCAGGGCAGAGAGAGGGGCAAGTGTCCAGGTTCCACTCACTGTGTGGAGGTTGGGTGAGACTGATTTCTTTTAGAGATAGCATGAAATAGAGAAGCCTGAATGAAAAAAAGGGGATTCAAATGAAAAATGGAAGCTGTGTTAAATGCCTTTATTATTATATATATATATATATATATATAAGAGAAATATTGCTACAATTTTCGAGTTCTTTTAAACAGCAAAAATGGCAGGATTTGACTCGAGCCCAAAGGTGAGGAGCATTCAGAGCAGGCGTGGAAAGATACTCTGAGCCAAGGCAGGCGTATGCACCCATGTGGTTTATATAAAGGAGGATGTAGGCTCCTGTTCTACAATCCAGACCCTCTCCTAATTTGTTTTAACATCCTACTTGCCAAATTCTCTCTTCCAAGCCTTAAGGGGATCCCCTGTGTGTGCTCTTCATGCAATAAAGCTGAGCAAATGTTTCCCCCACTGGTCGTGCCCAAAGGTCCGAGCTCTCATGTCCTCTGCTCCTGCTGGCCAGGGCAGTGGGAATCCTCCTCTCAGCTAGGGTGAGCTTGAGGCAACCCTTTACATCGCTCCCTAGGCCAGGTGCTTTGAATCTGCCCAGTAAAAGTATCTGTCCTATATGACTGAGCTCTTGCAGGCTGGCGTAAGCGTGTTAGCTGAAATGTGCAAGTTTTAAGTTCTGTTTAAAATGCCACTTGTAGTTTTGCAGATGCAGCACAGCTGTTTGCACTATTACTCATGCACTTTAATGACTACAGCCACAGGCTTTTGTATTTATGCGGGGGCCATTAAAGGTAATGCTGATTTTTTGGGGGAGGGGCCTTTGAAATCAGGGTCTCCTTGTACAACGTGCGATGCCAGCCAGCTTCACAGAACAGCTATTTTGTAATGCTGTAGAAAACCATTTTGAGCCTGACAAAATAAGGAGTCTAGAGAAAGATCTCAGCTGGCCACGCTGTGATAATCAAGTGATACATGATGGAGATGAGTCAAACCCCGTGGTCCTGCCTTAGACAAGGCTCTCACTAAAGCTAGTGGGAGTTCAGCATTTAGGGAGAACTGCAGGAGTGCACTTATTTTTTTTTATGTTATAGAAATGTTACATGATTACAGGGAACAATGTGTTTCTTGGAATAAGATGCTTTAATATTAACATAATTCTTCATTACTTTATAGATGCTGCCCTGTGTAACACGAGAAAGTTTAGTTCCCCTTGAATTAAGGGTGAACTAGTAGCATCCTATTTTCGATGCTCTTTGGAAGCTTTCAACTAAGTGTTACAGAGAAATAGCACAATAGTTGGAGTTGTCCTGTACTATTCATCACATTCACAGACCTCCACAGCTTCATCTGCACTGAACGGGACTGGGGTCCTAAGCAGCTTCTCATAGTCATAAAGGAAGTCATTCTCTGCTCTTTCTTTTTTTTTTTTTTTTTTTTTTTTTTTTTTTCCTCCTATGGAAAGTACAGTATTTTATTAATTTTACCTGCTGTTTTTCCATGACATCCATCATGTTTCATCAGAGAAGTACACTGCAGTTTCTTGACACTTTGTTTAGATGCTTGAAATTTCCTCTACAGGTCGAAAGCTTTACCTACTTATTAGCTGACAACTGCTGAAATTCCAAATAAAAGAGTTGAGTTTTGGTAAACCAAAAAACCCACAAAACCGAACAAAGAAGCTGTATGTCCTGCTTAATTGATTTAATGAATGGATTTTTCTTAAATATCTACTTCAGCTATGTGAATGTAATGTTCTGTAAGAGCATCATCTGGCTGACCCACATGCGAAGATGCAATAACGCTAAAGATCCTCTTTTTGCACTTAGGGTCTGACTCCAGCCCATTGCAGTCAGTCCTGTTGATTTCAGTGAGGTTTGGATCAGGTCAAACTGACAACTCAGGGTTGTCACCCATCCCTTAGGGTCCCCAAAGCGTCCCAAGGCTGAAACCTGTATCTAGCAAGTGTTGAAGTTTACATTAAATGTATGTACTTTTGGAACACGTGCCATAAATCAAAGTTAAATGTCCATGTTTGCACTAAGGATGTTCTTGTGATAAGACTGTACTTTTCAGCATCTTTAACAATAATGTATCTATTGAATTTTCGAGAAAGAAGAAAGAATATTGAACACATAATTTAATTTTGTGTTTCTTTGTCTAGTTTTGCTTTTGTAGAACATAAGTACAGGTGGTTTGACTTGCGAGCAGATGTGTGCAAAAAGCATCTGACTGTGTTGAGAGCAGGGTTAATAGTGTGCATGCGGTAGTGAATTTGCTCTGTCCCGTCAAAATGAAATGTTTTATACCATGGACTAAAGGGGGACCTTTACGATCTGACTTTGATTGGTGAACCATGGATTCTTAGACATAGTACCAAGTTGTTAATTTGGAACATACCAGGGTATTCTTTTTGGTGACCATCGTTGTACGGAGGAATTGCTGAACTACTTGATGGCTGTGGTTGCCTAGGGGGTTCCCTGCCATGCTGCCACGCAGCAGTGGGCATTTCTGCAGTTCGGGTGGCCAGTATTGCAGGTGAACCCCATACACCCTCAAAAATATGACCAGCTGAGTCTGAACTGAACAACACTGCAAGACCTAGAAAGGTCCCAGTGTTCTTCAGCCACTGGCAATCGTAGCAGAGAGGGTTTAAGTCACTGAAGGTTATTTCCACCTACTTTAAAATTGGTCACAATGCACTTGCTGTGTGGAAAAGTAGGAGTCTCTTGAGTTACTGTTGGGGCTGTTTATAGTGGTAACAATTGTGGTAACAGTACACATTTTGAGGTACAACTGTAAATATTTGTCTCAAACATAGCACACATTGCATATTAAATGGTTTTAATCTTTTTTGTCTTCCATAGTTTTAAATCTAAGCTTTTATTAATTTATGAGGTTGATAAGTTCTGCAAATCTGAATGTACAGTCCAAGATTTTTAACATTTGAAACTTTGCACATGACATGGTATGTTACCTTAAGTATTCTGTTGAACTAGGCTCTTCATGTATATGTATAAATTACTGTAGAGAATTTTCTCTGACTGCAAGTTTAAATGAACTATATTGTATATGTACCTGTAAAAAAATGTGTTAAATCTATATTTAAAGATTAAGAACTTGTTAAATAAATTCATATGAGAATATGAAATTCTGTCCAAAGAAACATTGCTATAATTCTGGAAAAAAAAAAAAAATATCATTCTCACAGTGTTGGTTTTATTTAATTTCTTTGAAACAAATATAACCTTCTCACATGCATTTTGATTTTAAAATAAGCAATGGCAAATGATCTGATTAGCTTCTTGCTTGATGTAGTGGCAGTGAAATTAGGAGAGGCGCCTTAGCACTCATACTGACACCTGAAACAGCAGCTATTGAAATCCTGCCTTGGCTCAGGCTGTCTCCATCACCAGCCTCCCCTGCATCCCCGCACCGGGCAGTGCTGCCAGGAGGGACCTCCAGGCCGGGGACCACGGGGCCATGCTCATGGGTGGGTGCGCGGGGGCTCTGCGGGCATCAACAGCCCTTTGGTAGGTGGTGTCGGGGGGAGAAGTGGTCTTGGGGGTACGTCTCGCTGGGCGGGAGGGAGAAGACTCCTCTCAGTGGGGTTCTGCCTCTGGGGACGTGCGTGGTGCCTGCAGCGTGGTAAAGCCTGTGCACGAGCTGCCCGTGCCAGGCATCACGGTGCGGTTCCCCAAGGCCACGCTGTTTCCCCAGGCACCCCTGGAGTTTTCCAAGGAAGGCGATACAAGACGAACCAGCACTGATCAGAGGTAAATCTCCCTTCCTTTGGGATTATTCTCTTCCCTTGAAGTTTGGGACTGAATTAAGCTCATTTGAATCAGCCTGACAGAGAACCTCTGCCCAGCGTAGCCTTTCCTTGGGATGCCACCTTGGGCACGGGGCAGGCACCTCCCCATGAGGTTTCTGCCACCCTCTCAGACCAGACACTGGGCTGTCCCAAGCTGTCTGCTCACAGGGAACATCCTACAGGCTCATTTGGGGAGGGCAATGCTCCATCTCCATCACCACCAGCAGCGCCTGTGACCACAGTCTCTAATTTAACACAATTAATACAGAAACCAGGACAGGTAACAAGCACTAAGCAGTTCTCTTTATGATCCTAACAAAGCTCTGTAGAAATCATTAGCATAAAGCCTGCCACTGCCTTTAGATGGGTTTTATATGGGTTTTACGTCATTTATACAGCCAATTTTATGTTGTCCTAAAGCAAGAAGAGCATTTGCTGCTGCACGTGATCTATCCCAGCCTGGCTTATATGAAAATGTCTGGCCAAGAGTGCTGGGAGTGCAATGCTTTGTGTGTTCACCTCCCTCGTGGTCTCCTGCTACAGGATGATGCTGGATGCCAGTGCTCGAGGCACCCAGTGCCTGCTGGGCTCCCCTTGCCTGTGGTGCTGTGCAGCAGCCATGGGCAATGCTGACGGCATGCTGGCCTGGGGCATGGATGAGCCATGTCCCAGCGCATCCACACCCCTCCGCATTCATGATTTGGGGACTTACACCATTTTAGCAGTGCCGGTGTGTTCAGGAATGCAGTCGTGGGTAATTAAAAGGGCTTTTTATTTCCTTATTACCACATTTCCACTGCGTTCTCTCAACGTTTGCCTTCCAAGAGCAGAAATTAGTTAATTTAGAATTAACTAATTTAATTTAGAAATGTTTATTAAAATGCAAAAATTTCTGAAAAACACGAAGGTTGCTATGGTCTCTCTTCAATGAACCAGTCCTTTCCCCAGCACAGCGTAACCTCCTGTGGGTTAGGTAAGCCTCGTGGTTTCCTTTATCCACTTCAGGTACTTGGAGACCCTGGTGTAGATGCCATATTTACCTGGCTTGGCACATTCCTCACCCCAGCTGGTGATCCCGGTCAGAAACCAGGTGCCCTCAATCTCGGTGGTGTAGGGACCTCCGCTGTCCCCCCCGCAGGTGTCACTGCCCCCGGCTGGGAAACCCGCGCAGAACATGTTCTGCAGGATGGTGGTGGAGGTGCTCTTAAGGCAGGTTGGCCGGTCAACGAAGGGCACCTTGAGGATCTGGAGGATGGTGGCTGGCCGGCCACGGAAGAGCGTGCTGCCCCAGCCGCTCACCGTCCCCATCCCGTGCTTCAGCAGGGCATTGGTGAACTCCCGGCTGCCGATGCAGATGGGGGTGACGTAGCTGTTGAAGTTGAGCGGCTGGTCCAGCTCCAGGAGGGCAATGTCGTTGTGGTGCTCATTGATCGTGGCATTGTACGTGGGATGGGGAATGACTTTCACCACCTTACGCCGCTGCTCCGTGTTGTCATCCTCGTTGGTGTTGTATTCACCTGCAGAGAAAAGCGTGGCTTGGGTGGTCCCCTCCGTGGCCAGATGAGTGACCATGCCCTGACGATGCCATCCCGCTGCGGTACCAGCCCAGATGAGTGGTGGCAGAGGGATGAGTGCTGCACACCCCAGCCCTCGGGCTGCCCTGAGCCTGGTGCTGGCAAGGCTGCTTGCTCCTTGTCAAAAGGCATTGGAATTTCACACACACCCCCCTGTGCCTGGCAGCACCTTGGTCCCCACAGCTAGCAGAACCTGAAACCCCAGGTGTCACACCAGGCACACACTGGCCAGTCAAATGCCAAAAGTCCATGTGCTTTTACCCAGGTTAGTAGGAACGTGGCTGTTCTTGGGATTTATCGCCCTCAAAAAGATGTGAGCAGATGTTGCCCTTGCTTCGAAGGGGGGAAAGCCTCTAGAATTAAAAGTCTTTGTTTAAAATAGATCATTTATTAGTGAAAAGAAATCTGACCTTTCCTCTTCTAAACCTACCCAGCCACAGGGCAGAATGGAGTTCAGGGGGCTACAAAGCGCCACCCCCCTGATGCTCACAGGTGTCCCCAGGTCCCTTTCACCTGCACGAGGCTCAGCTGTTTGTGATTTGCAGGGTGCTGCCGGCAGCTTGAGGCTCCTGTGACTGAGTTCCTGGCAGCCTGCTACCTCCCCTCCCGGCTTGTGTAACAGGTAGAGGGAAGGGAAAATGCTCTGTGGTCTCAGGTCGGCAAATGGGCAGTGTCTGGGTCTGTCTGTAGCCGAATCCCCTCTCCTGCCTGTGAACTGACTGTGCTGAAGCCTCAAGAGCAGGATGGCTTTTCCCGCTTGCTTTCTCGCAGCCCAAGAGGCGCAGAGTGCATTTAACCCCTGCTGCAGTATTTCTACATGCTTTGCTGTAATCTCCAGAATATACGATCTCCACTAAACAATATCTGCAGCACTTCTGTCCCTGGCAGTGTCCTGTGTCTGCTGCGTCTGCCTGCGAGGAGCGGCACGGAGCCCAGCGAGAGAGGTGAGGCAGCTTTCTGTGTTCACGTTAATGCTGGCGCCTGATGAAGGCGCGTTTGGTGGCTGGTGCTGCTGCTGTGCTCTGTGAGGGTTTTTTTTGCAGTGGAGTGTGAACGTCAGCTTCTTCCCAGGCTGCGTTTCTACAGTGTAAATGCAAGAGGGATGTGGGGGAGACTTTCAGAAGGTTTTTCTTATGCTGCAGCTGCTCACTATTGCTGGGAACCTGAAAATACGCTTCAGGGTTGAAAGTGGAGAGGCAAAGAAGGATGAGGGAAGGGAATGCTTCTTCTACACCCTGCTATCAATTTTTGGGCCTCTAGGATGCTATGTATGAAGCTGAACATTTGGCATGAATAGACATGAAGGAATCAGATATTGCCCATGCAGTGTACGTGGCGCAGGTACAAATTCAGTAGTCCTTGAAGCCCTGTAAAATTGTGGTTTGCTTTCTTGACTTAACTGCCTGTTCAAAATCCTGCCCTGGAAACCCAGTAGTGCTGCAGAGTGGTGTGAAGGTAGCGTGAGGGGACTTGGCTGATAATGTATCCTAGATGGCGGGGGTGACATGCAGGAGAGAGCCTGAAAGGAGAGGCAGTGTGCATGCAGATACAATGAATGCTAAACCTCTGTCCAGGTGGAAATGTGCTTTTCTGGGGGGAGACTCTTTTTTGCACCGGGCATTTTGTACTTTCTCTCGTGAGTGGGTGCAAGTTTGGGCTCTGGGCTGGGCTTTCCAGCAAAACTGCCTGAAAGTAGAAAGCAAAAAACGCTGTGTGCAAGCTGTGAGCCTCATCCTGCCAGCACTGGGCAGGTGGTGCCCAGCCCCATGGCACTCGGTCTCCAGGGTCTGGCCAGGCATACCCAGGAACTTGGCCATGTTAGCGTGGAAGATGAAGATGCAGCTGGAGCCCCCTTGATTGAGTTTGATTCTGCAGATATAAACTCAGTGCTTCAAGGCTCAGGTAGAATATAATTTTTGTCACCGATATATTTCATCGTGTTTAAACAGAAAGCATGGTTCTTCCATTCCTCCTCTCAGCGCTGCTTGCGGCAATTGCTAACCATATCCGTGTTCCCCTCCTGTACCTACCAGTGTAAGCCTTCTATACCAGATAGTCACACAGGGAAGAAACAAATAATTCGGGGAAGCTGATTCTGCCACAGCTGTGAAACATGGCACCACAATGCTTGCCAAGGCCCTGTGCTGAGTTGTCAGCAGGCTGCCTAGCAGGCAGTCTGGAACAGCTGGGTACCAAGAGTCAGGGGGAAACACTATTTTTCAAGCGGAGATACATTTGTTTTGTAAAGTAGTAGCATCACTTGCTGTGCAGTTTGGTCGCACTGCTCCTGCCTAACTCCCCAGAGATTTTCTTGTAAAAGCACACTTTCCCACATGCCAGCCTGGTTTCTCTACAGTCATCTTCTCCTTGCAAGGATCAAGCCAGCTTACTGGTGCCCCACTTGCACCAGCCACGTAAATCCATTCTCTGAGAGTTCTGCGTGAAAACTTAGCACGACCCCCAAGAAGAGCAGAAATCCCTAGTGAGGTCCTAGGTGGCCAGCAGAGATAAAAACTCATCACACCACCTCACAAAGCAGCATTTTAACTAAGTCCACTAGGCTTTTAAGTAGCCTGGGGTCCTGTCTGGTTCGTGTGAGCTTGCCTGTGGTCGGGTTGAGCTGTGTTTGCAACATGGTCCAGCGGCTCCTTGGCTTTGGGACCAAAGCCAGACCCAGCTCGCTGCTCCCACCAGAGGTGGTGGTACCTGCAGAGATCAGGCTGCCAAAATCTGCATCCAGGGCCTCGGTGCCCTAAAGCAACTCATGCCACATTGCTGCCCACCGTGGTGGTGTGGGTCCCAGGGTCCTGTGCGATGCCTTGTGCCTGGCCAGTGTGAGCCCTGCCCCATGTCCCTTGCCTGTGCTGGCCTGATGCCACCTGAGGTGCTCACCTGCCACGGCAGTGATGCTGACGCCTGACTTCAAGCAGTGTGCTGCTGTCACTACCCATTTCTCATTGATGATGGATGCGCCGCAGAAGCCCACGTTATCGCTGTTCACCAGGTGAACCTGTGGGAGCAGAAAGAAATCACACCTGTGGGTCTGCGTAAATTGGTGGGGAAGAAGAGTTGGGACAAGGGGTATTTTTGGCTATAGGACAGGCTGTGTTGAGGTCATACAGACCCAGTGCTGCCAGAGATGCTGCTCCTCAGGGAGTCCCTGCCACTCACAGAGGGTGGCCAATGTATTGGTGCCCCGTTGCCATTCTCCCTTTGCTCCAGGCTGGGAGGGCAGACAGCTCTGAACATAAACCTCAGCATTAAATTCAGAGCATCTGAAATACAGGCTGGGAGGGCATAAACCTCAGCATAAAACTCAGTGTTCAAAATACAAGCGCTTTTGAATGCATCTTGCACTTTTGCATGTACCTCCTACAAGTGTTTTGCCAGTGACTAGGTCTTAACTAATTAACTAGGGACAAAACCTTAACTACCTATTTCATTTGGGCATCTAATTGCCTCAGCTCTTATAGGGCACAAGCCAGGACAGCCCCTGAAACTTCTAATTAAATTGATCCACTCACTTGGTGAACTGTGTTTAAAAGAAGGATTTCTTTATAATTCACCCTTTTCTTTCCTTCCACGTGATGTGGCTCAAAACTAAATACTTTCCATACATTCATTTGATACCTCATTAGGTAGAGCCAGCTGCGTATTACAGAGCTTAGTACCCATATCGAGGAGGACCGAGCTCACTCTTGGCGATGAACTGGAGTACTGCCACAGCCATTCCCCAGCCCCCCCGGCCACTCCCCAGTGTCCCCCGTGGGCCATGGGAGGGCAGTTCAGGATGGTGGTAGTGGTTGCTCCCCCTCATGCATGCCTGTGGCTGCGAGCCTGCCCGTGGAGCAGCCGAAGACAATGCTGTGAAGTGGCTTATAAGGTCATTTGCTGGGATCTGAGCCCCACAACCACCCCCAAACCCCAGGTAGGAACGGAGCACCCCTCCTGGGTGTTGCCTGTATCTCAGCAGGCTGAGCAACTTCGTTTGCCAGATGGCAAAAGGGCAGCCAAGATTTTTTTCAGAGGGAGCCTGGTGAGTTAAAGGTCCCCATGAGCACAGCCAAACAGCCAGACTTGGTGGGCTTGTAACTCATTAATTTATTTTCTTTATGGATACTTATTTCTCTTATTTAACTTTCTGGTTCTCCTCTTGGCTCTCGGTGAACAGTTGGTGGGTGCCAGCACACAGCATCACCTGTGGATTGTCCCACAGAACAGTGTGCCAGAAAGCTCTGCGTGGCTAGGGCAGCACTACGGCCTCTTCCTTTCAGACACAAAACATGACCTCCCAACAAACCTGCTGCTGCTTCTGGTGGCTGTCTGTCTCCACAACACATTCTGAGCTTCTCTAGCTCTGAAATGGAGGGCAGATACCCCTCCCGACCTTCCCACATAGGCCCTGCTCACTGTTTTGCTCCCTCAGCAGATATGGAGGGATTGGCTGATCTGCATTTACGTCCCTGTGGGGGCAACTTTTCATTGACATCACCAGCGTCAGTCTGTGCCAGAGCTTGCAACAGAAGGAGATTTGCCATTCTTAAAATTTCATCTGGATTTATTATTTTACACTCTCAGCCAGTGAGATTTCTGTGCTCATTGAAGTCAGAGTAGAATTTAAGGGCAGCAGATGACTTTGTAAAAGATCCAGATTAGGACATAACTTTCCTTTTGACAACAATTTGAAACTATTTGCCGAGCAGTGCGTCAGAGGAGGTTTCTTTGCAGCCTCCCCCTCCTTGCCTGTGATGTCACTTTTGGTGAAGTAGAGATAACCAGGATGTCATGAGTTGGATAAAGAAAGAGAGCTGGATTTGGTAGATCTCTTGGTGGTATAAATGATCATGTATCTGTTGAAACTGATGGAGCCAAAAAATGAGCTCCATTGCTCCTTGCTTGCGAAGTTCCCCTCCCTCAGAAATTCATGGACTACTGGGGAATCTGTTGCTATAGCTCAAAACCAGATCCTTTTTGCCCCACCGGATAAAACTGCTGTGACTCTGACTTTTATCTTTCTTTTTTTTTTTTTTTTGCTAGGGTAGACCCCCATCCAGGCAGGTTTTGTTGCTGTGGCGTAAAACTGTGTACAGAAAGAAGCCGTGTTCCTGTTAGACTTGAGATCTATTGCTAGACTAACCTTGGAGGTGGGGTTTGAGTATGTAGAAATGAGACAATCCTGCATTCAGAAGGAAATGAGTAGACAGAGCGATTGTTGGGGTTACAGGGGAGCTGCAGAATAGCCAGTACCTGCCAAGGCACCTCGCCTCTCATGCTGTCTGTTCCACCAACAACTCTGGTGCCCGTCTTAATTATTGGTGTGATTTTCGTGGTGGCAGCAGTGCTGGTTTCTGTGGTGTTGTCGAGCACCTCGTCATCTGCATCATCCTGGTCATCGGTGGTGATGTTCCAGTGCTCGAAGGTGTTTATGGCTCGGGTGAGCTTGCTCTTCACTTCGGGAGCCGTGATCCTCCCACAGGGATATGGCACTGGGGGAGAAACAGTCATGGTTATGACTGGCTGTGCATCATGCTGAGAGTTACAGCGATTGAGGGAGCAGGCGAGGAGGCAAACGCTGCCTCATCTCAGCACCCTGCTTTGGGACTGACATGGGAGACAAAGGGCCGCGGGCCAGCTCTGTGTTCTCTGTGCACATGCCTGTGCCTTTGAGCTGCAGTGCAGGTAATGTGTAAGAGTAACAAAAGCACAAATTGTTTCTGGGCTTTAGAAGGGACATCTAAACAGCTTTTAAAGAGCAGAAAGCTTGCGAGAGAGAGCCCGTGTCTGACGGGACGGTGCAGCTGTGCCTGTATTTCGCGGGATGCTGAGGTGCATGCCTGGGAGGCTGCAGCCGGGCACTTGGCTGACATTTCTAAAGCAAGTAACTCCAGTACAACAAAAGTCCAGCTGGGAGAGGACAGGAAATAATATCTGCCAGCTGTACAGATAATCCTGCTTGGCACTAAGGTGAGGAAAACATTAATAAACTCTTTTTAGAGTTGTAGATTTTCTCTGTTAATGAAGATCTCATCTGCAGGCTCATTTCAGACTCTTCCCATTTCTCTCCTACGCAGTGTGTGCTGAATTCCTGCTGATAGTGGCAGTCAAAATAGTAAATAGCATCAGGCATTGTCTTTCATCTGAAAAGCTTTTGACAGCACTGTGCAAACAAACATTAGTGTAAAGTCAGATGTAAGTGTGGCCTGCTGAAGTTTGTTTGTTTCTTTTTTGTTATATTTTTTTAAGCACTCTGCTTTAGGAATAGGGCTTAAAGTGTTGAATGATGGAAAGTGCTACCCATGAGGTTAGGCTAGGAAATGAAGCCTTTGGAGCCAGCAGATCTAAACTTTTGCAGGAAGGGCGATTACTCAACCTGAGAGATGTTTTTATTGCTAACAGTAAAACTTTCTGGTCCAGTGAAAGTGAAACAGCATGTTAGGCAACGCAGGCCTGACCTCTTAATGATCTTCATTAACAGGAGGAGTCCTGGCCTAAGATGCTTTCTACGCTCATTGCTCAAAGTCACCTCTTTCAGGAGCTCAGGTGTTCCTGGTTGTAGCTATCAGACCTTCAGAAACTAACTCACCTGTGCAGGTGCCGGCATGCTAGTTTAGGTGTGCAAATCCGTTACTCTCAGGTGTTAGAATTATGATAGCATCAAATGTTAAATTGACCTTAGATGACAAAATATTTCTCTACTCAATCTCCTCTTTCCTCTGCCAGATGTGTTTCTGAGATGTTCATGCCCAATTAACTTGCTGTGTTGCAGTGTTTTGGGATTGCACGTGTCGGTGTAGTTAGAGACACTGTGACAGCCTAGGAGTGGGGTAAAGTTGGGGAATACAACAACAACCAGCTATTCTTTAGCCCTTTATGAAGTTGCAACCTCAAGCAATGCATTTCCCCTCCACCCTACTCAATGCCACAGCTAAACCAGAGAGTCTAGTTCCCGTTGAGGGCCTTTGTGTACAGACGCACACTGTTGGGAGCACAGCACCACCACAAAGCTTCACTTGTTTCCACCCATCTCAGGTAGTTATAAGGCACAGTGAGATGGAACAGCCATGAAACAGACCATCAGGAGGACTTAAGGGTAAGAAAAAGAATTTTTTTGTTCTGAAAAGGCCCAGAGAATTCTCAGTGTAGGATCAGTAACTAGATAGTAGCTCCTACTGGAAGAACAGGGAGTGACTCTGGACGGATGGACACCAGCGTGTATGCTGGTGTAGCTGAACATCACGTTTCTACCTCCAGAAAAGTATTGATCCATATCTAGAAATATAAGACGGCTGCGGGTGAGAGGAGCTTGTGAGAGCAGCCATCTGAAGTGCGCATTTGCCTTGTGAACAAATTCCCAGACAACTACCCTCCTTCTCTACCCACCTAGGCTCACAAAAGAGTGTTTAAATTGCATCTTTCAAGCCTGACCCTACATATACCGTTGGGAAAGTGCAGGTTCAGGATCTTTACATTTGCTAAACAGGAAATCAAGGCTGGTTTTCAACAGGATATTACATTTCTATGAGATTCATCTATCTAAATCCAGGACAAGACCTTGGAAACTTTCACCCAAATCTCTTAAAAACACTTTAAAAGTTAACCTGTAGGTTCACAGGACTTTCCATCTTCATGAAGTCTATAGCCAGCGGCACAGGAACACACAACTTTCTGTGGTGGGTCATGCCTGCAAAAGTGCTTGCAGCCTCCATTTTTAATGGCACAAGTGAAGTCTGAAAGAAATTAAAATGAAATTGTGAAAGCTCTTTTGAAATGCAACTGGTCAGAGATTTGTTGGGACTTGGGCCTTTGGACTTGGCCTGTAAGCCATGCCAGTTGTTCCAGACTATGGAAATGGCCCTATGAGAGGTTCTGCCAAGCCCTGGAGCAGCCTCTGTCTCCAACAACTGTTGAGTTGTCTGAAATTTGGCAGCCTGACTGTAAAGGACTCCTGCAAATATTTGGTTACAAGCCACATGATTTCCCCACCATCATGCTGCAATCCTCCCTGCCGCGTTTACGGCAATCCAGCCCCACTGTGGCTGTCAGCAGAGAACACCATGTGTTGAATGGGAGCAAACCCTGAACCCAACAAGGGCTTTGTCCTGGGATTATCACTGGGCTCCAAATTTAAAACCTCAAACAAAGCCATATGTTCTTCCTGACACACCAATAAATCATTGCAGCCTGATGTGGAAGACCCATTTCAGCAGGGTGTTTGATGAAATGGGTCCCAACCTGAGGCACAGTGAGATTCCTGTGACTTGTGTGTGTCTTCTCCCACCCCACCTCACACCCCTCTGTGGTGGGAACATCATCTTTTGAAGTGGGAAACCACTAATCTGCAGGTGCCCTTTTAATTCTCAGCGAGTTTTCAAATAACTTCACAGCAGATTAACTCCACTCCTACTTCCTCAAGGACACCTCCCTTCCTGTAGCCATTTTAATGCCATCATTTACTATTTTTACAGAGCTCCTTTTCACGCCTCACTTCTAGGTCTATTTTTGTTCCTGTCTCACTTCCACGAGAAATCTGCAATGAGACTATTTAAATTTGATGCAGCTTTGAAATGCTCTTTTTAACGTATGCTCCTCTCTTGCCAGAGCAGAAGCACAACTAGAAAGAGAATCTTTTATTAGTGCAGTGAGTCTAGCACATTATGTGAGCCGCACAGCCCTTGATTATATTATAAATATAAGAGCTGAATATCCCTCTTGCTTAAATTATCAGCTGTTTGGTTTTCATAAACTTCTCAACCCATCAGGAAAATATTTGTCTTTTGTTTGCCTTCAGAATCAAGGTTGCTGGTGATAATTGTAATTACGAATTTAGCAGAGTGCCACTGAGAGGAGGACACAATAATCCTGCCCTGCTCAGCACCTGCTGCCCAGCCTGGCATGAGAAATGGAGAGGAGGAGTGAGAGCACGGGGGCCCCACTGGGGTTGGTGGAAAACTGTTGCTTTCAGCAGGTGAGCACGTCATCCCTGATTGACGAGCAGCCCCGGAAAGGCTTGTGCTGGGAGATAAAGGAAGGTCTTTGTGTCAACATTTGTGCTGGCAGTCACAGCGTGCTGAACAAAAGACCTTGAGCCTGAGTCTCTGTTGAACCCTGTGTGAGAGCTGCATTTTGGTGCTCAGCAGAGGTGGAGCTGCGGCTCCACCAAGGGCAGGTGAAGACAGAGGCTACCCCCAAGCACGTCCCCTTGTAATCCCATTGCCGAGAGGCTGAATTTGCACATCATGCAGTGCCTTACAGCAAGGCAAAATGTGTCTGAAACAGCCCTCTAGTAGGATGAAACTCTACACCCACTTTGATCTGATGGGATTGCAAGTAGGGCAGAACAACCACAGCACGAGCCCCTGGTACATACCTATCTCACAGTTTCTGCCTTCATACCCAGCTGGGCACCAGCACACGTAGGAACTTACTGCGTCCTTGCAAACGGCTCCGTTTTTGCATGGATTGGGGTCACACTGATCTCCATCTTGGAGAGAAGACAGGAGAATTAACAAATGTAAGCATCTGCCATGGATGGTGCCGACCAAGCCCTGGAGCCTTGCTCTGTGCAAGCCTCCTGTTAAAGAGGAGCAAGAGTCCGCACACCTTCCTTCTTTGCAAGGGGAAATAAGCCAGATCCTGGCATCCAAGTGCACAACAGACAGCATCAGCACTGAGGTAACAGCAGCAGTGATTTACCCAGAGTCCTAAGTATGCACCCTGTCCCGTGGGTTAATCCTGCTCGTTTCAGCAGAACTCCTCCTCACTCTCCCTCATGCAACATCTCAATAGGATCCCATGCCTTGGCTAAGTTAGACAAAGTTATAAGGTTTGTTTCGTCATGAGTGGTTAGCATTTCCTAATCTGAATTATTTTAACACTGCTGTCTTTGTTCTCTGGGCCTGTCTGCTTGGGTTTGAAGGCCTCTCTATGTATTAGGATTGATAGCCTTGGTCATTGCTCTTTCCTTCTAAGTCTTGTACTACTATTAACCAGTCTAGATTTTTCTTTACATGTCACAGCTTTTATTTTCACAGTTGCCTACAGCTGAAAAGCTGAGGCTTTAGGGAAAAATACCCAGTATTGCGAAATTAGTGGTGTATCACTTTGGAAGAGTAAGTCAGTGACACTAAATTACAGGGAAGTGTGCTTTGAAACGGTAGCACAAAAAACAAGGAGGAAGGGGAATGTCCTGATGCATTTGTGTCCTGTCAGTAAGTGTGGCTGTTAACTCTGCTTTCAGGAATGGGCTGGAATACAAAAGGCAGATGGCAAACAGGGACAAAATGGTTTTGTCTAAGGCAGAGTGTCGGGGTTTGCTCATAAGGTGAGGATCATGACGTTGTTGCTGGCTGGTGAGGGCAGTTGGGGCTTGGTACCACTTGGGTGATGTGCGAGGGGTGAGCTCCTGTGGGCTGCACGTGTTGGGAATAGCAACTTGTAGACTGAACAGTAAATCAGACACTTTGGGTGATAGGGGAATATACGCTTTCATTATTTTTAAAAACCTAATGGTTACAGTGGCAGGGAAATAAATGCAGTGTTGAGTTTCATCAGTTGTTGGTTGTTTTTTTTTTTTTTTCAGAGGACAATGCAAATGTAAGTTTTTTTATTTTATAGTCTGGACTGAATAATCTGAATTATTTAAGGCATTTTAGTGAGATGTTCTGGGCACTTCACCAATCTACAAAGTACTTCATTTATTGAAATGTCCTGAAAATTAGTTTCAGATGTTTTAGTGGGCATTGAAATCTTTTTGGTAAGGGACTGAGGAGTTATTGTGGATGGAGGCTGAATGGGAAAAAATAGATAGTGGAAAGAAGATGGTAGAGAAGGAAGGGTTTGGGACCACGGGTGTGAATTGCAAACAGCTGTTTGCTATGATCATGTTGAGGCTCCACTTTAATATGGCATTTCTAGGGATTCGCACTGTGCTTGCACGAGGCTGTGCCTTATCTGGAGATCTCTGAGAACAGAGCGTTTGCTGTTTGCTGAAGGGTTGTTAATTATTGCTGTCATGTTTTACTGTATACCACGACTGAAACCAGAAGCCCAGAGTGTGACCTGGGGTCAATGCATCCAGTGGTCTATGTGAACTGGTTTTGTTCTGTGAGGTTTTAGAAGTTTGTTCAGAAAAACTTGCTCGAACAAATAAGATGTTAAGTAATTTTTTTTTTTTTTTTTTTTTTTTTTTTTTTTTTTTTTTTTTTTTTTGGCTTGCAATGTGTATACAGATAATACAAAGGCTGGGTAGCTGCAGGATTTAGGGTGTCTGACTCTGACTAGCTCTGTCATTATACAGTTTCTGAGTGCTGGAATACATTTGTTTCAATAAACATCTGTTACTTATGCGTTAAGAGATGAATATTATGCCTTTGAACATAAAGAAACCAGTTCTTACCAATGTATGTTTTCCAAAACTCCATCTGCAAAGGAAAAAAACCAAAAATTTCTTTTGATTTCTAATTTCTGGGCACTGCCTGACTGAAGTAGTTAAGGGATGACTCCAAAGCTAAAGCAAAAGCTTGCAGCAAGGTAACCACCTCTGTAATCCCAATGGTGACCAAAAAACTTTAAAGAGGTTCCCCCAGCCCAACGGATGGATCACAGATGAGAATAAACCACACTAGATGCTGCACTAGGCCCCCTCAGGTTTTCCCCATTCTGTTGACTCCTCCTTCCCTCTCTGTGCCTCCTCGCCTGAAAGGCTCGTAGAGGTACGGGCTGGGAGGAACAAGATGTTGCCGTTTTGCAGCAGCGATACTCACTGTTTTCTCTGTGTTTTCAAACACTTCTCGGGCTTCTTCAAAGCTGCATTTTTCTTCTATGCATTCTCTCTCGAGGTTCCCAGGAATAACCTCTTCCAGTCTGTTCGAATTGGCTCGCTTTTGCCTCTGCAGAACTGAGCTCGCCTCTTTGTTCTCGATGAAGACTGCAATTTAAAAAAAAATAGGGGCTAGAGTGGAGCACACACTGTTGTGTGATGCAACTGGGATGGGGTGTCGGGGCTCTGTTCTCCCAGAAAGCAAGCCCTTTGCATGCCTTCACTCCCCCCAACCTTGCCCCATGGTGGGGCATGTTCCAGGAGTGTTATTATGTACTTGGTGTTTCTTTGGTGTTTAAGTTAAGTGAAATCCAGAGGATCAAATCTGGAGAACCAGGAGTCAAAGTAGTTGATAGATAGAAATGACTGATGGTGAGAGGGTGATTAGGAGTGCTGAAGTTTGATGCTTAAAATGCCCTAAAGCTGATGGTGTGAGTATCTCCTGTCATAGATACACAGACTGGAATAAGCTATCTGAGAAGGGAAAATAATAGGTTTTTTTCATGCTGCTGCTTGGTTGAAGTCTCATCTAGACACAGAAATTGTCCTGCTTTAACTGTCTCTGCCTGCTTTACCTGTGAAAGACCATTTCCCTCTGCAAGCGGCTGCCATCCTTGGAAGCCGTGGGCCATTTGCTTCTCTCCCTGTTCCTCACCCTTGCCCGTGTGCCTGGGTACCACGGCTTCCTGCTGGCAAGGAGGGGTGACGTGAGCCCTCCTCACCCCCTGGACCAGGTTCTGTCAATGAGGTGATGTGCATCCACCTTCAAGTTGATGTGCATCCACCTGGCAAGCACCTGGGCAGAAACCACAGGCAGAGAGCTGCTGGCACAGCAGGGACCCCCAGCCCAGGCGGGATGTTCGCAGTGGCCACCAGCCTTCCCGCGAAGGAAGGACGCGCAGCCCTGTCCTGGTGCTGCCATGAACGTTCTCCTGGCCTGGTCACACACCCCATCGGCAGGGTCAGCAGTCACCCCGTGGCAGCCACCCGGCAGGGTATGATCCTGACGCACCTCTCCGAGACCCCCACCTCTGCTGAGCGCTATTCCCGCATCCCACCGCTCTGAAATGAGACATTCTTCACCCAGCGGAGATTCCTGCTTTGCCTCCCCAGCATCTCCTCCCTCTCCGCTCTCCCTGAGCGCTCGCAGCCATGTCCCTTTTTGTCACCAGATGGCACGGTAGAGCAGCTCTTCTTGAGGCTGCTGATGGCCACCCTGGACTCGGAGCCTTTATCTGGGGGCTCTGTGCCGGAGGGGGTTCAGGCACCCCTGGGCCTGGCCCGTCTGAGGGTTAAGGAGAGCATGAGCCCAGCCAGGCGGACAGAGAGGGGAGTGAGGGGCAAGCACCAGCCGCTCATTCCTTCTCAAGGCTAACTTCTGCTCTTGATCCGGAGCAGATCCCAGCTTCCCCGAACCCACAGTGGATTGGTTTTATTGAACTTTCAGTTGCTCTGATTTACACCGTGCCACTGACAGCGTAACCAGCCCCTTCAGCCAAAGGTCTCTGCAAGAGAACGGGCAAATTGTTTGTGCAGTGTCTTTAATCATCGTACAGCAAGCTAGCACCTCTGTCTTCCCCATGCTAGTGTGTTTTCGGTTAAAAATGAAAACGAGTGTGTTAAAATTCTGACCTTAATCTAATTGTTTGGCGGTAGATATTGATGGGTAGAGTACTGACCTCTGGAGAAGCCAGGCTTGTTTCAAACACTGCAGCCCTGGTGGGGTGGCCAGTTCCCTCCCAGCCGCAGGGTTGTGGTTTAGGTGTGGGACATAACATACACCCCCCCGACGAGCCTCCTTGGCTGAGCAGGGGGCTGAGAGCATGGAGGCACCTGGGGGGCACAGCCTTGCTGGAGGAGACCTGACCTCTTCTCCCCACGGCATGGGCTGCAGCCCCTAGCTTGTCCCCAATCCGGGTACAAAAGCTTTAGGTGAGAATGAGGGAGCAGCCGTTCTTGGTTTAACCCTGTTGGGCTCCCTATGTGCTTAGTGCCTGGGGAACCTGATGTGGGTGCAGCCCCACATCACCCTGCATGAAGTGTGTAGACCCACTCCTTCATCTCTCCCTGGTGGGATGTGCCAGCACCTGCCATAATTAACCTATTTAATGGAGAGCACTCGTTTTAATGAATGCAGCTTTGCCTCCCTCAGATCCCTCTAGGCTTTCTTAGTTGCTTACTGATCCCACATGCTGCTTTACAAGCACAACTTGATCTGAACTGAAGGTTGCAGGCACCATGGGGTCAGAGGCATGGTACTCGCCCTGGCTGTTAACCATCCTCACACCAAGAGTATACTCACACCTGACTTACCAACTTCTGAGCCAGTATCTGAGAGGGTGCAATGGGCCTCTGGGCCAAGGGGCTGTGGGGGCAGGCCTGTCCTGCCACCCAAGTATAGTATTTTCTAGAAGGTACACCTGGGTGGGTGGTGGTACCAGTATGATGTTTTGCTCACTTTTCATTGCTAAGCAAGTATTTTGGGAAGAGGATCTTTTTTTAACCTGTTACTTGCAATGTTTTAATGAAAGAAGAAAGGCCAGCCTTGCACCAGAGAAGTACTCACAGTGGATGTGAACCAGCCTCTGCTGGAACTGTTGCTGCTACAGATAAATCAAGCAACAGCCTGCATTACTATGTGTGATTGCCCACATCCATCAACTACTCTATCTTGTCTACAATTTTGGCTGCATCTTACAGTCTTTGTTGAATTCACACTGGGTTTGGCTTTAAACAGTTCTCACAGTGGCAAATCCAATGACTGTTTTATGCATGTGAGCACTTGTTTGTACTCCAGGACAAAGTGATAGCACACAAAGAGGTGTGGATGTTACTCCACTATCAACTCTCTCCCCCTTTTATTCCTTCTGTGTGTGGGTGCATGCATTCTAAAATGGTTGAATAAAGCTCTGAAAGCCTAAAAGCTGCAAAAAGTTTAAGAAAAATCCGATTCTTAAAATTAATCCGTGACATATTCTGTGTAAAATCAGCACAAAACCTATTATTTCATTCCCAAGAAAAGCACCAGTTTTAAAGAGAGGAGCTGTGAAATGCAGCAACCCCTCTGAGCTCTCATTTCATATAAGACTGCACAAGTCGTCCCACAGTCAAGTGACAAATTGTCACTTCACCTGTGCCAGTAACCCCCCTCACCCAAATGTGAAGAACTTTTAAATGAACCCACCTGTATTTTCGGTACCAAGACAAGTTCCCAGAAGACAAATGAAGAGCATGAGGGGGATATTTGCCATCTTCTTCCCACTGTCCAAACCTCTCGGTAACAAATTGTTCAGGTGGTGGAGCTCAGTCAATAGTTCCAAAGTGCAAGTGCTTGTTTATTTACTCTGGGTAACCCTTTAATTTAAGGTCCCCAGAGATGCCATCACTGAAGCTTGAAATGGCAGCATGGGTGTTACTGGAGACGGATATCTACATAGAAGAAACCTGCTGGGTAGTTGCAGTCCTTGGGTGCATCTTCTGCCCTGTAGGATATTACTGCCATGTTTTGGGATTGAGCATGGCACAAGAATAAATTAATTCAGCTTCAGTGAACCTCTTTAAAGCATTGGATTTCACATTCCTATCCAGGTGATGCTGTGGACCATATAAAAGTCCACAGTAGCATTTTCAAAGGCTTCAGCATCATCCACCTTTCATCCAAAAAAGCTGGCACAGTTCCCTTGAAGATGACCCTACTGACGATGTTTTCTCTCAGGGACCAGCCATCCTTGGAGTAGGGCTGTGTCAGCCGGCAAGGTCTCATGTGGGTTATCTAATTAAAAACCTGGATGAAGTGAGGTACATTATCCAGATCTGCTGGGGCAAACCCTGGGAAAACATGGAGTTTCCTAGGTCCTGTTCTTGAGGCCGCAGGAAGGAATCTGCTACTTGGTGGCTCGGACAGCGGGCTGATGTATGGATGTGCTGATAAAATGCTGGTTCTGGAGCAGGGAGACTGTGCAGGCTCCTGGGTGCAGGACAGCCTTTGCCCAGGGCAGGTTCACAGGCTGCTCCTGATCCATACTGGCCCAAGAGAGGACTGAGAGAGGGAGATGGGGGAAACGAAATCGGGGAAAAAAAGCAGGTTTTCATACAGAAAAGAAAGAGTGGGTTTTCATATGAAACCATTCATATTTAATGGTGGGTTACTTACAACTTTTAAACCCATTTCTTCCCTTCTTCTGACTTGTCCTTAATATGAAGAGCTATTTCAAGTTGAATGATCGCTTTTGGGAAAATAGTGAATATTGTAAAAAAAAATAAATGAAACATTTACTTCCAGAAAGGTCAGAAATCTCCCCCTACTCCTTCCTAGGAGGCAAGAATAATTCATCTCACTCTGGGGAGGGCTTGTGGGCTTTCTGCCCATGTCCTGTTCCTCAAAACTCGATTCCCAGTTTCTGCTTATCCCCCCACACCCTGGTGCACAGGGCAGAACTGATATCCATCATCACACCTGTGTACATCTGGGGCTTGCACTGTTCTGCCCAACTACAAATAGGTCTCAGACAGAGTAATTTTAAAGCAAAACTCCATTTTTGAGTGTGTTGCTGGTGCTATTGCCTTTTGGGATTGCTTTAGCTCTAATCCTATGCTTAAGAAGAGCAGCCAGAGTCTAGCGGGCTCTGATGGCTTGTTAAAGCAGAAGAGCTAGAAGAGGAGAGCTGGCAGGTTTCACTAGTCCTCAGCAAAGCAAGATGGATATTGTGCTATTGTCAATGCAAGGGAATCCCACAGCGCATTTCACGGCGCCGTGAGTGCTCGCAAGCAGGCTGACGCCACCCGGAGAGATGTGGAGTATGTGTTGTGTTGGATGTGCCCGTGTCGCGCAGGCTGGAGAGCTCTTAGTTGCTATGAGGCTGCAATAGCCCTTGGGTAGTTGTTAAAGTGTTTGCTTGAGCTTATGAACCATAAATTCTGTGCACTGTGTCCAAAAAATTAAAAATGTTCCTTTGTGCGGCAAACAGGAGAGACGTTTATGGTTGCATGGGTATTTGGAGTTACTTTTGTATGCAGAAAGGACCGATCAGCTGCAGGTAAATATGAGATTCTGAATGTGAGTTACAGCCTCATGAGATCCCTGTTGCCTAGGTGGAAGGAGTCCTTTATTTTCCCTTTCTTGAGAAAACAAAAGTTCTTGAAACCTATAATTCATCTTGTTTCTTCTTGCTCTGCTTGAAATTATCTTTATTCATCACTGACAGTAGCTTTAGTTATCAAATTTCTGTGGCAGATAAATGAGTTAGGATGAGGTAATGTGCTGTTGATGTAAACTGAATGCAAAGTGAAGAAGGTAATGATCATCTTTCATTTTCTGTGCATAAGAAAATGCAAATGTGAGAAAATAAATTGAGCTGAAATGTTGAAACAATGTATCTCCCATCAATAAAGAGGAGTGTAGAGAGTGGCCTGCCATAACAAAGGATAATTGGAATCTCATTACTGTAAATATTTTACTTTAGAACATAGGTCAGTCAAATTATTTTTGGTTTATGGTGCATATTTCATTTGTAATAGTATTTGCAACACTATTGCTAATTAATCTTCACAGAAAATGCCAACATCATTAGAATAAGGCTATAAATACAAGTAATTTCTATTGTTTACAACTTCTGGGGCACTAAATTGAAAGCAAAGTGTTTCTTTTTATTTATTTTGCAAACAAAATCCCCAGAATTATGATCCCCACCACGGGCGCTTTGGAGATGAAAGCTTTGCTGTTTAGGCAGAGGACATCCATTGCGTCTGGGTATATTTTGACTCGGAGTTCTATGTTGTCAAGGCTATTTAAAATACACACCCGAGTCATGCTTTTTCCTATAAAAAGACTTTCTATAGCAGTGAGCTGTTAGGAGGTGTATCTTCTGGTTTGAGGTGTTAGGTTTGGGGCTTTTTTTGTTGAAATATCCCTTTTTTTTGTTGGACAGAACCCACACTCATGTGGTTGCTGGGTGTGTGTTTGTGTCAAAGGCAGAAGGAGGTGGCAGGGGTACAGGGCAGCACATTCCCAGAAGGGGCACCACCTCAGGCTTGGAGACTTTCTGCTGCAAAGTGAAATGAAGTTGGAGAACTCAGACCAAGAAAGCTATTTCCATTTTAATCTGATAGATTTTTTTTTTTTTTAATGTGCTCTGGCTGCACTGATCAATAATGTTAAACAGCCTGATGGCTTGAGGATCTTGTTAAAGGATTGTTCATAATCTCCCTTGTCTCCAAATGCACTCTTTTAAGTGAAAAATCCTCACTCAAAACCTTAAGCAAATTGCAATTTACCCTTGCCCTCTAGACAGCTATAGTAAGTGATCTTTCCTTAACCAACAGCAAAAAAAGCTATTTCCGAAAGAAAAAACAGGGAAAGTAATGCTTGATTTTTTTTTTTTATTATTTTTTTATTTTTATTTGATTACTTTGAAGTCCCTGGCTTTTTCTGGAGCAATAACTGTGGGAAATTATCCAAATATTGAGGCAGCACAGCCATGGAGTCCTTTGCAGTGCCTATCATTCTGTTGTAGTCATTAACATACTGGAGAAAGTATCAATTCTGTTAAAAGTTCCAAAGCCACTGAAGGTACTAAGGTGTGTTTGGACATCAGCGGCATTAGTGATCTACCCCAGGTGAGGAGATGCCCTCAGCTTTCACAGGTGGGATGCAGAAACCTTGTCCCTGTGGTGATGGTGGCTCTGGGCTGGTGGATTAGCAGATGCAGGGAGATGCTGCTGCTGACTTCAGATCTGTGATATGGGAGAGATATTCAGGCAAAAAGGAGGTGTTTGGCTTTGGTGATGTGTAATGGCAACCAGGACCAGCCCTTCAGTGACAGCAGCATACAGTTTGTGCAGCAGTAGTGTTGGCTTACAGCTATCCCATCTCTGAAAGCCTCTCCTCTACAGTCCCTATCCATCTCAGGGCTTCCAGTTCCTATGTTGGGCATTTTTCTTCTGTTTCTATACAGAGGCTTCAACACTTGTGCCAGGAAACAGGCTCCCCTTGCTGAATTCCCTCCAGGCACATCCATCCCAGTTAGCACTTAAGCTCCGTCCCTCCCATTTTATTCTGGTTTTAATTAGCCTCCTGAACAGGAGCACAGAGCAAACTCTGCTTTCATCTGGGAGAACCTGTGGCTGTGAAATATTTATGGGAAGTAAATAACTGTCAGAAAGTAAATAAGGCCCTGACTCTACATGGGCGTAAAAGTGCTTTGAAATAGTCTTATTCGAATAAAAGCTTCTCATGTTGAGTGGCAGTAAGAAACAGCAACACAGTCAAAAAATTCCCAATGTAGAAGGTAAACACAATTACTAATTCATGGAGCAGCACGTTTCATCTTTAATATCTTCCTTTCCAGTTTGATTTTAAATAGGATAGATTAAAAGGAAATCTGAATACAGTCTGGTCATCATCTTTTCAGAAAGTGGAGTGCAAGCACGGCTAGACACACCGGCTGCTAAAGTTATTCTAAATTTAGACTTTGCCATCTCCACTTCAGACTCTGGATAAAGCAATGAAACAAAGCTCAGAGAAGGCAGCAGCTCTTGCAGGTTTTGATGGGTCAAGTAGATCACCAAGCTCAAACATCATCATACAGAGCAAGAACTAAGTTAAATATAAGCTCAAAAGCTGGCTTGCCTCTGTGTATGGGATAGAGGCTCATCCTGCCACAGGCTTGCTGATGTGAACTTGAGTTCTCAAGGTTGCTTTGAAACAGATCTCAGAAAGATGTTTCTCTCTCCTCCTGCAAACCCACTGGTTTCATCTGCTGATGGTATTAATAGCATTGTGTCCTAGAGGAATACTCCTGAACCAGGACTAGAGACAGGTTAACGTCAGCCAAGCAGAGGAAGTTTGTTTCCTTCTTCACTCATGGGAGTAGACTAATCCCACCTTGCTCTGATGCCTGTGGTTGGAGGAGGGAGGTGTATCTCCCTTGCTCTCCCTTTCTGTTGAGTAGAAAAGAAGCCTTGATTAACAGCTTATGCTATATGTCAGACTCTATTTTAGGATAGTCAAAATTAGGGGAAATAAGTCTCCACTAGCACATTCAAACCCATCACAGTCAAAGCCCTTGCACTTAACTCCATACTGAGCATAAAGTAATAATATTCAGTGTTCTCTATTTCCCATCATTTATGTCAACATTTATGACTATGCCCCTGTTAATTTTCTTTCCCTTAACCATATTCCATCTGAAGTTTTTACCTTCTCGTTGTACCAGGGGATCCTTGTGCCCTATTCACTTTTTCTACCTCCCTT